CATCCCACCTGAAGTCGGTATCTCCAACACTAAAACCAACGCTTTTGGTCAACACCCCAAAACCCCTCCTTCTGTACTCAATGTTCCCCATCGCCCTGATCAAGCACCTCGAGACGTCCACCCTCTGGGGTACACCTTGCCTCCTTTATTTAAATAATGTAGAATCGCTCCCAAAAGCGCTATATCAAATGCAAGGATTATTATTATTATTATTACCTCCTTCAAAAAAAGGGCGTCTCTAGACTTTCTCTTTGATTGTGCTTTCGGCCACCCTCCTACACTCGCCCTCTCACCCCTCTTGATTCCAACCACTAGTTCAGGTGCAATCCCTTAACTTTAACTGTCCACTGTCTTGGGACATCTTTCCGACATGAAAGGCACTATATGAACATAATGTTCTTTTTTTGTTGTGGTTGACGATCACTGTGTGAAACCCAGAACAGAGCCCAATGTGGAGTAAAGGCTGTGTAAAGCAGCCTGGCCATTGGTAAATAATTTGGTTCACCTGGTGATAAGACAGTCAGACCTTGTCTCTTGAGTTTTTGGAAGTTGAGATACACATTAATTGGTTGGGCGGAAAGAGAGAAAGACAGGCTATTCACCTTGTCGAGCCTGTGCGAGCTCCTCCACTGGACTTCAATCCCAATTACGGTCCTTAACTCTCTCCTCCAATACTGTTCCTGTATAAATATTAATCCAATTGCCGGTGGCATGTTATGCTCTTGGCTTCAATGGGCTCTTGTGGCAAAGTTCCCCATGCGGTAATGACCCTCTGAGTGAAAGTACTCTTACCCCTTCTAGGCTGATGTTCTACTGGGGGGAGCACCGCATTGTCAGAGGTGCCTTTGGGTGACATGTTAAACCGAGCTCCACATCTTGTGCCCTATTCAGGCCAATGTTAAGATCCCCTGGTGTCGCAACAGAAGAAGGGAGTTTCTCTCTGCTGGTGTCCTGGACGACAATTCGCGCCCACCCCCACCAACCCGCCCGCCCCCTTCTCCCCCAGACAAAATTGGTCATTCATTTCACAACCGTTTGTGAGACGTCTCAACGGCATGATAAGGCACTATACCAAATGTAAGGTTTATTATTAAACAGCAAGTTTGAAAACATTTTTTCAAACAAAAAAAGTTGTCGGATAGATTAATATCTCTTAATTTTTCTTTCTCACCCCACCCCCCCACTCAACCCAACCACCCCAACAAGTTAACCTTCGTCACTCACCAGGATTTGGGAACTTTTGCGCTTTTGTTTATGGATCTTAATCGACTGAACTTATCTAGGACATGATCCGTTCCTCGGTTATCTAAGTAATTGAGGCAGTTGTTCTTAATTTAAAAACATGTCTCCCCCATTGCACTGACTAGTTACAAGAACAAGCAAAAGAGAGAGAGAGAGCGCGATGGTAATATGGGGAATTCTCTCTGATTCCCCTCCTATCTCACCCTCCCCCACACCCCCACCCACTTTAATGACAAGAAGGAGCAGGAAGATAACGGGATGTGAGATTCCAACCCCCCACCCTCTCCATGGATTGGGAATTGGAGGAACAGGTGCGTGCAAGAGACTGAATGCAAGGTTCAAGTCTGAGTCAGAGTAAAGTTTCATGTCCTCGGTATTTCGCAATCCGCCTGCAACGCTCAAACTCTCCCTTTCTTTCGCAATCTCCAGACAAGTTCCCTTACCGCGGCTTCCTGTCTCTGTGTAGCAGTAATAGCTCTCAGCCTGGGGTGGGGGGGGGAGGGGGAGAAGAGGAAGGGAGGAGGGGAAGAGAGAGCAGGGGAAAGAGGGATGGAGAGGGGGAAAGAGGGAGGGAGAGGGGGGGAGAGGGACGAGAGGAGGGAGGAGAGAAGAGGGGAAGAGAAACTGAGGAAAGCGAGAAAGGGAAGGAGTGGAGAGGGAGGGTCATAGGAAAGCAGGGGAAAAGAAGGAACGTGAGGGAGAGTAGAGAGAAAAGGGGGAGAGAGAGAGGTAGCACGGGATAGAGTAAGGAAAGAGAGTGGGGGAGAGAGAGAGAGAGAGAGACACACACACACAAAGAGAGAGCTTGTGTATTTCACCTCTCAGTCTCACTCTCCGTTTGCCCATCACTCGTCTCTCCGCTCCCCATTCAACGGAAATTGGTTTCAAATGTACACACAGCAAAAAGGAACCGAACGGACACACACACACACATATCCATTTTCTCTTAAATGTTTTTTTTAAAAAAACATCATTTTACAATAAATGATTTTTTTTAAAAAAAACTCCCGCAAATTCCCCCCCTCCCCCATCTGGGCTGATCGATCCAATTTGACTGGCGTTTTCTGCCCGTACAATATACAGTATATCCTGTGAAGCGCTTTGAGACGTCTCGAAGACGCGATAAGGCACTATATCAAATGCAAGAATTATTATTATTATAATAATCCGCTCCATTTGCTCTTCTCATTTTCCATCAAAAGTCACAATTGATGCAAACGGCCCGCCTGGTTTTTAAAAAAGTTTCCCTTTTCATTTCAGTTTGAGAGATAACACTCAATTCATGTCCCAACCCTCTTCTCATCCCCTCTCTCCCCCCACCCCCCACCATTAACAATCACAGCACCGTCTCTAACATGATAGGAGGTGGGGGGCGAGCGGGGGGGGGGAAGAGAGACTAAGCGCGATTTAAATATTTTATAGTTTTTTTTAAAAACTCAATCATCTCACAGACTAACTCCTGTCGCCCCCGCCCTTAAAAGCGATTATTAACAATCTCCCCCCACCCCCACCTCAAAAAAAAAAACATTTCAACTTCAAAAAATAAGTTGGTTTGAGCGTGGATGGATTTGAGTGCATTTAAATCATCTCCTTTCAACTGAAAACCAAATTCCTGTGTTTTTTTTCCTCCCTCCCTCCCTCTCTCTGATTCGAGGGACGGGGACGAGGGGGGGGGGGGAGAGATGTATTAAGAGTTTTTCTCTCAGTCTCTGTCTTCTCTCTCCCCCCCCCACCACCCCCGACTATGACATCTCTTCCAAGATCTGAACAGAGGTGGAGTGGATAAAATTATACCCTCTACACTGACCAGCCTGTTAACACGGAGAAGTCTCCTCCCCCCACCCACCCCCCCGCCCCCTCCCTACAAATACACATTTCTTAGAAAACGAACACACCCCTAAGACGCGGCGCTAAACACTTATAAATACACGCACCGCCCTCCCCTGCAAGCAACAGAATCAATTGTGTGTGTTCTTTTTTAAACCAGAAACATGCATGAGCCCTGAAGGGGGAGGGAGGGGTACAGGAGAGGGGGGAGGAGGGGGGTATTTAAACGCACACGATTTGATACCATGGCTCGTCCCCTCCTCTTTCTTCCCCACCCCCCCCCCGCCCGCCCCATAAACAATCGTCTCTTTAACCAAACCATCAATCGGGAGAGCCGGTATAGTAAGTGCTGCGGTTAAGCAGTAAATAATGAACGCGTTGTGAAAGAAACATTAACTTTTTTTAAAAATGATGAGAGAGAGAGAAAGTAGGGGGGAGGAAGCGACATTGTGGCCAGGCATATATATATATATATATATATATATATATCTACTCACACATGTATATATACAACAATAATTGTTATTATAAAATCTACAGAATAAACGTGCTAATGATTTTGTTGGGATAAGATTAAAAAGTGGAGAGAGAGAGAGAGAGGAAAGAGAGAATCTGTATATGATGGGGAGAGCACTAACGCTTTTAATAACAATAGTAAAATAAATAATTGGAAGAACACTTTTAATTGCAAGCCCCCAAAATAAAAATAATATAAAACTGAGGCTGGAAGAGAGAGATGATAAAGTGATCCCTTTACTTACCCCGAGTGCTTTTCTCTCGTGTTTGTTACAATAATACTTTTAATTACAATGATAAATTGTAATTATCATATTATTACCATTAATAACAATACACTTTTAATTACAATAATAAAATAATAATTGTCATTATATTAGTATTGATAATAGAATTAAAAGTGCTTGTTATTAATAACAACAACTTTTAATTACAATAACAATCAAACGATCATTGCCATTATATTGGTATTAATAGGAGAATCCAAAGTGTTCGTGATTAACAAGAACGCTATTAATTGCAGTAACAATCAAACAATAATTGCCATTAGATTGGCATTAACGAGAGAATTAAAAGTGCTGGTTATCATCGATGATAATAATAAATAAATAATAACAATAATAAGTTTTTTTTTGCCTAAACTTAAAACGACTTTATACAACAAGTATAGGGGAGGGGGGGGGGGAGAGAGAGAGGAGAGAGAAGAGATGAGGAAGAGAAGTGAGTGAGTGAGTGAGAGAGAGAGACTGAGTGAGTGAGAGACTGAGAGAATGAGTGGCTGAGAGAGTGAGTGACTGAGAGTGAGTGAGTGACTGAGAGAGTGAGTGAGAGAGTGAGTAACTGAGTGAATGAGAGTGACTGAGAATGAGTGACTGAGAGTGAGTGAGAGAGTGACCGAGTGAGAGACTGAGAGTGAGTGAGAGTGACTGAGAGAGTAACTGAGTGAGTGAGAGAGAGTGACTGAGAATGAATGACTGAGAGTGACAGAGAGAGAGTGACCGAGTGAGAGAGAGTGACTGAGAATGAGTGACTGAGAGCGACGGAGAGAGTGACCGAGTGAGAGAGTGAGTGTGACTGAGAGAGTAACTGAGTGAGTCAGAGTGAGTGAGAGAGAGTGACTCAGAGTGAGAGAGTGACAGAGAGAGAGAGTGACTTGAGAGTGACAGAGAGAGACCGAGTGAGAGAGTGAGTGACTGAGAGCGAGAGAGTTGAGTGGGACTGAGAGAGTGACTCAGAGTGAGAGGAGTGACAGAGAGAGAGAGTGACTTGAGAGTGACAGAGAGAGTGAGTGAGAGAGTGACTTGAGAGTGAGAGAGTTGAGGGTGACTGAGAGAGTGACTGAGTGAGAGTGACCGAGAGAGTGACCGAGTGAGTGAGAGGGGAGTGAGGGGGGGGGGTGAGGGTGAGGCACTCACCCCGGACGCCCTCCTCTTGTAGCGGCCGCCGTAGTCGAACCTGGCCTTGGCCTCCTCCAGCGCCCGCTCGAGCCGCGCCTTCTCGTCCTTGCGGGTGTAATCCTGGCCGAGCAGCACGTAGGCCCTCCAGTTGGCCGAGTCGAAGCCCCAGTGGCAGGTCCGGTTCTCGAGCGCCTTGTGCGAGTGCACCACGAACTTGTGCGGCGGGTACATGAGGCGGCAGTCCAGGCACTGGATGCAGGCGGCGTGGGGGGCCGTGTAGAGCTCGGGCACCAGCAGCCCCCGGCACTTGCCGAAGCACTCGTGGTACACCTGGAAGCTGCGCTCGGTCACCTCGAGCTCGAGGTGGGCCCGAGCGTGAGAGGACGACGACGATGAGGAGGAGGACGACGACGCAGCAATGGCGGCCGTCGACGACGACGACGCCGACTCCTTGCGCGAGCGGCGCGGCGGCGGGAAGCTGCCCCCGTACAGCAGGGCGTTGCACAGCCGCTCGGCGTCGGTCTTGGTGATCAGGCCGCACGAGGGGGCCGAGAAGGGCAGCACGCCCATGACCTTCAGGATCTCCAGCTGCTCGGCCGTGCAGCGCGAGCAGTAGATGTGCAGCGCGTCGCACACGCCGTTGATCTGCTGCAGCGTGTGCTCGCGCAGCACCGAGTTCAGGATCTGCGGCAGGCACAGGCGCTTCTCGCCGCCCACCACGAAGCACGACACCGGCTCGCCCTCCAGCACCGTCTCGCAGCGCTCGGTCGAGCGGTCCGACGGGATGAACAGGGGGCCCGGCATGGCCGGCGGGGGCGGGTGGTGGTGGTGGTGGTGGGGGGGGGTCGGGCCCCCACCCCCGGCGGCGGCGGCTGCTGCTGGACCGGGAGGTGCAGGAGGGGCTCCTCCTTGCCGACCCCCTCCTTCTTGTACATCATCTGTGCCCAGCGAGCCGAGAAGGCCGCCGGCCCCCCCAGGGAGCTCATGCTGCTCAGGTGGAACTGCTTCAGCGTCTGCTGAAGCCCCGGGTGCGGCTGGTAACCAGCCCTCGGTACCGTCTCCATACTCCTCTCTCCTCTCCCCCCCACCCCCCCCTCTCTCTCTCTCTCCTCTCCCCCCCACCCACCCACTCCCTTCTTTCCTCTCCTCTCCCCTCCCTCCCTCCCCCCTTACACACACCCTCACACACACACACAACTCCCTCTCCACCACAACCACCAGCTCCTTCTTTCTCTCTCTCTCTCTCTCACTCACTCACTCACTCCCCCTTTCCTCCTCTCTCACTCTCCCCCTTTCCCCCCTCTCCTTCTCCCCTCCAACTAACACCCCCCCCTCTCTCTCTCACCTCCCCCCCCCCCCACACACACAAAGCTCTCACACACACACACACACGCGACCCCTTCTCTTTCTTCCTCTCCCCCCCCCCCACCACCACCACAAAATCTCTCTCTCACACACACACAGAACAGTACTCAACCCTCTCAGTCACAGCCTCTCTCAGCCCCAGAAACAACAGCAGCTCAAAGCCAAGTCACTGGGACTCTTAAGAAGAACATCACCCCCCACACCCCCCCCCCCCCGCCCCAACAAAAAAAAATAGACGTCTGTCTTGTCTTTCTCTTTTCTTCTGTCTCTTTCTCTCTCTCTCTCTCTCTCCCAGTCTCGGGGGCTTTTTTTTTCAGTCTCCTCTCTTGTCGTCGCCTTCGTTATCCATCCACCGACCCAGACACGTCAAGTCCTTGTTTTTAAAATCCTTCTCGATGCTGTCGGGCGTTAATTTTAAGTTGTATTTTCTTCTCGTCTTCTTCTCTCTTCTCTCTTCTCTCTCTCTTGTCTCTTCTCTCTGTGTGTGTCTGTGCGCGTCTCTGTCCGTCTTCCACCACTGGAAAAAAAATATTAACGCGCACCAACCAAACAAGCCCCAGGAGGCGTAGATAAGTTCTTCTGTCCTCTCCCCCCAAACACAGGACAAATCCTTCTTGAAGCTTATAGTCTTCCCCTTGAAATACACAGAGAGAGAGACAGAGATATATACACACACATATATCTATATATATTTATATGTATATATGTGCTTTAAAATCCCAAAGCGCAGACGTTTCACGGTGTAGATTCCAAGCGGTAACACACACACACACAGTAACTCTCTCTCACACACACTGTTACACACACACACACAGAGAGAGAGAGAGACAGAGAGAGAGAGAGACAGAGAGAGAGAGACGCTCTCCCCCTTTTCCTTCTCGTGTGTGTGTGTGTGTTAAAAAAAAAGAGGGATCAGTCCTCTCTGGACGGGCTGAGAGCCTCACGCACACCCATCCCATCCATCCGCACGTCCCGACCTTGTAGCTCAGACTGCCCTCTCGGTCTCTCCGCTCACAGGGCGTCCGTCCGGGTCAGACTCGGGCTCCGAGCCAACAAAGCTGCGTTGTAAAGTCTCCTCCCTCGGGGATTCTTCCAAGAGAACCGCCTCCTCCTCTCTCTCTCTCTCCTCTCTCTTTCTCTTTCTTTCTTTCTCTCTCTTATCTCTCTCTCTCGCTCTCTCTCTTGGCCACTGTCTCTCTCTCTTATTTCTTTCTTTCTCTCTCCTCTCTCTTTCTCTCTCCTCTCTCTCTCTCTCTTGGCCACTGTCTCTCTCTCTCTTATTTCTTTCTTTCTTTCTCTCTCCTCTCTCTCTCTCCTCTCTCTTTCTCTCTCTTTCTTTCTTTCTCTCTCTTATCTCTCTCTCTCTCTTGGCCACTGTCTCTCTCTCTCTTATTTCTTTCTTTCTTTCTCTCTCCTCTCTCTCTCTCCTCTCCTCTCTCTTTCTCTCTCTCTTTCTTTCTTTCTCTCTCTTATCTCTCTCTCTCTCTTGGCCACTGTCTCTCTCTCTCTTATTTCTTTCTTTCTCTCTCCTCTCTCTCTCTCTCTCTTTCTATCTGTTGTATCCACTCCCTCTCACTCACTCACCCACTCTCGAAGGAGTATTTTAAAGCCCCTTTCTCTCCTCTCCTCTCTCCCCCCCACACAGCCCACACTGCACACAAAACGCCCCCCTCCTCCTCCTCCTCCTCCTCGCACACTCACTCACTCACTCACTCACCTCCTTCCAAGTGCTGTGTACTGTACAGTCGGGTTTCTCTCCCCCCTCCTCTCTCTCTCCCCTCTCTCTGGTCTCTCAAAGTTCATTTGATTTCATTTATTCTCAGGATTAGTCACCTTCTCTCTCTCTCTCTCTCTGTGTGTCTCTCTCTCTCTCTTTCTCTCTCTCTCTCTGTGTTCAGACACAGAACACACTTCGTCTTTGTGTTTCACTTCTCCTCCACAACCGCTCTCTGTGGCACGCGGTCGGGAGGGTATTTTTTTCTCTCTCTCTCTCTCTCTTTCCCTCTCTCTTTCTCTCTCTCTCTCTGTGGATTTCGCTGTGGGTGGGGGGGGGGGGACTCTCTCCGTTACCAATCGACGAAAGGAAAGGATGAATGAAATCCTCGCTTGTGTGTTTTTTTTTAAAAAATCTTGGGCGTTTTGGGTCAATACCCACCTCTCTGATGATCTTTAATACCCCCTCTCCCCCTCTCATAAAAGTGGACTTTCTTAACAGAAAAAAAAAAGGATAATTCCTGCATTCGACACAGCACCTGCAACATTGAAGGCTGGCTGCCAAGTGTAGTGACTGTGCATTTAGTAGGGGAAACTGGGACAGACGATTTGCATACTGTTAAGTGCCCACAAGCACAGGTGACTCATTTTATGGGGGGGGACGAGGGAGATGGTCAGCCAGGACACCGGGCGAGAAACTCCCTTCTCTTTTCCAACAGCGCCGTGGGATGTCTTATCAGACACTCCCTTGGTATCTCGTCTCATCCAAAGGGATGTCACATCACCGGAGTGTCAGCCTGGACTGTGAGCTCAAGTCCCGACGTGGAGCTTGAACCCACAATATTGTGAAACTAGAGGCGAGAGCGCAACCGACCGACTGACACCTGACCAACATGTCCCGGGTATTCCGACTGTACTTCCAGTGCAAAACATTTTATGGCGGCGATGCTGGTACGTGTTAGCTCGCATTGCGATCGGTATCAGCCCCACGATTAGCTATCGAAGCGTTGCAAAACTCAACTGCATTGTTTGATCGAGACTTCCAGTTTCCACGCCCCACTACATAAACAGTCTGCTCGGAACTGGTCTGAGTAATGCTGGTTACGTTTTGAAGGCGGTTTATGGGTCCGCTTGCCTGCGATTCAAGACCAATTTGTTATCGCTTTAAAGGGTATTTATTCGTCCCGTGGTTACTCAGAACAGCACCGGACGCCCAAAATTCCACCTGGTCTTAGCCTGCGACACCGGTTCGTTCGTTTGGCCTTAACAATTCCAGATCACGCAGAGAGACTGGCTCCTCCAAAACCGGTTCTGTGTGGTCTTGGCTGACAATAATCATAATAATCTTTGCATTTGATATAGCACCTGAGGTCTTCGAGACATCTCAAAGCGCGTCACAGGCTATACTGTAAAGTGAATTCACTGTGTGTTTTGTGGGCGAAATGCGGCAACCAATTGTGCACAGCAGCGTCCCACAAACAATCGTGGATTTTTTAAAATATATTATCCCGGAAAAGCAATCCACCAATCGACTAACAACCGGGTTCCTTCTTACTGCTCGTTAAACAGAGGTGTGTGAGTAAGGAAACTTGTCTAAGGTTTCGCTCTGCCCAGGAATCAAACCTGAATCCTCTCACTTCCGAGGTGAGTCTTCTAACCACTACGCTACAGGACTCAACATCCCAAGGGTTAGAGTGGGGTCAGCCAAGGCAATTGCTCTTCACTGCTGGAATGTGTACGTCTAGACATAGACCCCAAGCCTGCCTTGCTCCAACGCTGATCATCTCACCATCGAGGTTTGGGTGTGAACAACATCTGGGGGCATCTGTGCAGTCATTTCTCCCTGCCCCACCACAGGAGAGGAACATAACCAGCCCCAAACCAAGTCAGTTACAAAGCGACCTGACCTGAATTCACAACAAGCAGCACCTAGACGTCCTGACATTGAGACTCGATGTGAATTGCCACCATTTGTCCCATAAAGTCATTAGCATGTGAATAGCCCTGTCTGCTGAGATAAAGGCATAGCCAACACCTGCCTATTGCCCCGTTGAGTGTTTTAAAGAGGTGTTAGTGGCAGCGGCACATGCAGACAAGCCCAACCTTCTATCAGCAAAGAAGTTCTCCAGCGCCTCAACCATCAGTGACCCAAACACACAGGAAAGGTCATGGGTTCAACACTTGGCCAAAGATGGGTGGGGTAAGAGTGCTACAATTGGCTTCATCGCTATCTGACTTGCTTTCAGCACATCCCACCCCCCCCACCGCCACCATTGGAGTTCCCTGACAACTCTTATCGTCTGGGCTCATGTGCAAATAATGGCCTCTTGACAGAGGTGCAACAAATCACAGCACCTCTCACTACAGGGGAACATCTCAACATGCTTTACAGAGGCTGGAGTGGGAGCCTGAGCTGGGGGGAGGCACGATTGGGGGGGAAAGGTGTTGAGTCCCTCCGCCTCACACCCTCCCTTGCCACTTTCAAGGCCCGTCTCAAGACCCTCCTTTTTGACCGCACCTTCGGTCACCTTCTTATAACTTCGAACCCTCCCTGCCCTCCACCCCCCTCTTGATCCCAAATCGTGTGCAACTCCTTGACTATCCAGCACCCTGGGACGTCCTCCTGACATGGAAGGCTCTATTACAAATGTAATTTGTTGTTGTTGTTGAAAGACAGGCCTGAGTTGGCTGAGCAGTGCAGTGGGGACGAGCAGGGGAGTGGGGTAGAAGAAGATCAGAGAGACGTCCATTCTATTGGAGGCAGGCAGGCTTCACACTGGGATTTGGCAACCAGGGCCAAGAGTTAGTCTCTCTGAGCTCCAGGCGCTGACAGGAAGAGGCACAAGTCACTGCTTGTTCCAGTCGTGTACAGCTGTGAGCTCGGTGGTTGTGGTTGGCTGGGAATGGACAGGTTGTGAGAAATTTCACCCCGAGGGGTGGCATGACTGGGTCCCATTCCGCTAACACAGTCAATGAGCTGATTCACAAAATGTCTGGTCCAAGGGTATGTCTGACCGGATATGTCTTATCCTTACATTTGATAGGTCGCCTTATCGCATCATCGAAACATCTCAAAACGCTTCACAGGATATACTTTAAGGGGATTGACTGTGTATTTTGTTGGAAAAACGCGGCAGCCAATTGCGCACAGCAATGTCCCACAAACAGCCGTGGATTGAGTGACCAATTTATTATTATTTTTCTGGAGGGATTTTTACCCCCCTGTGAAAGCGATCCACTAACAACTAACAACCGGGTTCCTACTTACTGCTGGGTAAACAGACGTACATTACGTGTGTGCAGTAAGAAAACTTACCTAAGGTTTCACACCACCCAGGAATTGAAACCGGTCCTTCCGCTCGCGAGTCGAGCGCACTAACCACTACACTATGGGTGGTGGGGCAGGGGACACGGTTGGTTTCCCCCCTGTGCCCCTCCCTCTAACCTAGTGAAACTGAGGTCAGTTGTAACGCGCGGCTGAGGTTGGCTCACACGGTACAGACCAGAATAAAACCCGAGACTATGTCAGACTGTATGACTCAGCGCCACTTCCTCTTCACACCCACTGAGCCGTTAACCTTCACGTTTCATTAGAAAAAAACAATTTTATATAAAAAAATCAAGCCGGTCGTCATGTGATATAAACATAGACGGCCTAGCCTCGAAACCCCGTAGCACTTTATTTGAAACCATTCCGGACACATTCAATATTCAATCGCAACAACAGCAACAACAAAACCCTTGCACTTATCTGGAGTTATACTGTTATTGTCACATGAGAGTTCACAACAGAATGGGGCCGGCCTCACCCAGAGGTGCCGTCGAGCAAGATGGGAAAGAAGGGTGTTCAGCAAAGGAAGGTCAAGGAGACAGGTTTATACAGTTTGGAAGTGGAGGTATTTTGAGGGGGGAGCACAGGAGGGCTCAGCTGACAATGGTGCAGACCAGAGCAAAACCTGAGACCGCTCAACATTTTGTGAACACGTGGGCATGATCACACAGTCTGACTGACCTGAGTCAAACTGCCCCCCCCCACCCCCTCCACAACTGTCAACCGCTCTGGGACGCTACCTTGCATGATGGGCTGCTATCTAAATGCAAGTTGTTGTTGTTGATATCGGAGAGGATGGGCAGTAATTAGACCCGACGCAGGGCCAACCGGTCGGTGTTCGCAACCGACAGAGATCTGACGTTTAATCCCTTTGCACAGAGAGCAAAGAGAGAAGATGTGGAGTGGAGTAAGAAAGATAGATAGAGAGAAAGAGAGGAAGGAAGGAGGGAGAGAGGGAGGGAGGGAAGGAAGGAAAGAAAGAACTTCGAATTATTGGACAAAACTTTTGAAAGTTTGACGGATTTTGGGAACCATTGGGGAGCAGTGTGAGAGAAACAGATCAGAGGTCAAAGAGATAGGTTTCCTGAGAGTGTTTTGAAGGCGGTGG